TTTTTTTGCATTATAACATGCAAAATTTTAAAATAATTGAAGGTAATATTTTGTTAAATTTATTTGATTTATAATTTATTATGCTCAATTTAAAATTAATTATATTTAGAAATGTGATGCATCATATCTTCAAGCTGAATCCTTGGATGGACTAAATGCTAATCACATCCATGCTATTTTATATAAGCAAGATATTTTGGATCTGCATAAATTCATGTATTTAGATCCATCAAGAATTCAATTTGCACTTGAAGAATATTCATTTCGCTTTTTTAATCCTTTAGGCAACGTTGAAGTCAGAATTTAAACTAATTCAAATTTTTTAGGACGATATAGTATGTTAACGGCAATACAATTATAATTATATCAAAAATCAGTAGAGGAAATTGCTAGCATAGAATCGGGAGTTTTGGAAGCTGAAGCATTGATGAAAATGAAAAAAAGTAGTCAATAAAATCCAAATGATTCAGAATAGTATTAGTATTTTAAAAAATATTTTTGTATAATTTCTTGTATAGAACTGAATTTTCTAAAGTTTGGTGTACAGAATTGTGATTATTAATAAAGATGTTTAGTGTACAGATAATATAAAACCTGAAGTTTAATGTACGGATTTATACCTTTGTCTACGGAAGGTTTACTAATAAAAATATGGGGTATTCAGGGACCAGCGAAGTCTAAACTAGTAAAAATGCAATCAAGCTGAAACAGTTTTGTTATATACCGTAAAATTTCCTCAAGTCATCTTTATTTTTAAAATCGAGACCTAGTTCTTCAGCTAAGCTGGACTTTCAACAACTTTTTAATTTGTCGCTACAGTGAAAATTTATAACAGGCGGTTTCAGGTTCATTTCCTTCTTTTCAAGTTCAGACTTTTCGGATGTATGGTTAGGCAGTTTAGACATTTTAATACCTGTGGGTGATTTGGTATGTTAACGCTCGAAAAATGCAATATTCCGAAAACTGAAAAAAAAAACCAGTAAAAACCTTTATTAACCAATTTGAATTTGTGTTTTGAAGACATAACGTTTTTGGGAATTTGTATAACAAGTTTTTCCTTTGGTAAGGCAGCGTAAAACAAATCAATTATACAAGTACTTATTGATCCAGTAAGACCATACGGGATCGATCACGGGACAAGCAAGCTTTTCTAAATGAATCTCATGAGTGCGTGACTAATACCGCAGTATATTTTTTCAGCTATGCGCAGTACGATATCGGAAAAATTTTTATACAAGATGGGAATTAATTCAAGGTTATGTGGCAAATGTAAAGACACTATATTATTACAGAATAAAAAATAAATACAAGTTCGGGACTTTGCCCGTGATACATGAAGTTTCTATGTTAATGGTGGACTAATGTACACGATTATTTTTTCTTGATTCTCTTCTACACGGCGCTTCTAAGTTGCGGGTTCCTCACTACCTACTACTCTATCCTTTAATAAACCTACTATAACCTCTAAAACTCTCTTCACATTCTTACGAAATTCTATATCTTTGATAGCATCTTCTGTAAGTGAAATTCGATGCTCGTACTATAAATAACCGGTGCTGTGAAGAATGAAGTGTACTAGTCGGTCCCAGTACTGATTATACCATAGACGTAATTGTAATCGGATCGAACGCCTATCGACTTTCGGTTTTTACTTATATTCATCTGGAGGGAAATAGTGAGCCGAGTTAGCAACAGCCCATGATCAACCTGTAACGAGCGGGGTAGCAAAAATTGTTATATTTACATCGACATGGTAGTAAGTTTTGGCAGATAACCACAGTCGCCTGATTTTGTTTGTTATGCAAATTATTTCCTCCAACATCTCGCTGATAATTTTTGATTGCATAGTCAACATGGCCCGTATTTTCTTCAATTATATTCGCCTGAGGTGTAATTATCAAATCATTGAGAAGACCATATGTAATATTGTTGAAATATAGTTGCACCGCATAGCTTCGTTACTATTACAACAGGGCTCAAATTTTTTTTTTTTCCTTTAGAAAAAAATATCATCAATGCATAACTTAAATTCGGGACGCTATATTCCTGATATGTGAGCTCAAAATATTTTAATAAAGAACCATTTACTTACGTGTATGAACTGTGGAATGCGAGTTTATATCCCTACTTACGAACCCATACTTGCGTAACACCTCACTCAGTTCTTCTTAGTCTTGTACGAGGAGAACGAGCACTTCTTTTTCTCCTTAATCTCTTTGGCGAAGTCCGATTGCTTTACAGCTGGTCCACCCTTCATACTATTAATAATCCCTGAACCTCTGCTCAGACATCTTGAATGCACGACTGTCAACCTCCATTTTATAAAATTTCGAAAGACTTCTCACTTAGCACAAAGTCCTGTCGCAAAAACGAGATGAGTTCAACCGTATTATATTTTCTAACATCGTGAGCAAGTCATTTTTAGGTACAGAAACAAAAGTGGAGGCGATGTATTAGTTTTTGATATAATAAAAAAAAAATTTTTATTTGCAAAAAAAAATCTTCTGACCTGAGGATAGTTCTGAATCATCGAGATAGCATTATTTCAAACTAAAAAGTTTCGCGAGTGACGTTTATTGTTATGGCGCAGTTTCATGCGGCGTCTTTTGCAGATAAAACATGGGTTTTCATGATTTTATACCAAGCTTTTGTTTGTCTTACAAGCTTGCTTTAATTAAAAAAAAAATTACAAATCTCTGGCATTTGGAAAGGGGGCGCAGCAAAATAAATAAAAACTTATGCAATGCATTTAGAGAGAATTTATAGTGTGTGCATGCAAATGAATATTTTTTTTTTTTTTTGAATAACCTATAAACCGTGCCATTTCAAAAAATCGAGATAAAAAAAATGCAAATGTTTATTTTCTGTCATCATCAATGAATAGTAATAAATATAATTCAGTTAAACATTTGATATTGATAATGATGATTTGAAAGATAAAATTTTATTAAACATTGATAAAAGTTTGATATTTAATTAAAAATAAAATTTTATTAACCATTGACATAAAATCTGATATTAATAATAATAATTGGAATACAAAAGACGAAAAAAAAAAAGACTAAATAGATAAGAAAAGGCTATTTGAACGAACCTGCCGGCCCCCAACACACCGAAGGGCCGGCGAGAAGGGAACTTTAGAGGACAAAATGCTAAAAGCATTTGTCTAATGTACATTTTACCGGCTAATTGTCGGCAAGATGCTTCAAGCAACTTTGTCTCAAAAACATCTGACCGGCCGGCAAAATTGGCATAATTGTCGACAAGATGCTTCAGGCATCTAACGAGATTGTTGTTTCTCGTATCCTTCCGGCAATTTCAAACATGTTAACGCAACTGTGGATTTGAATTCATTTGAGAATTAATTGTCTTTCTTGCTTTTGGTCGAGGAGAAACAAATAAAAAATGTACGTACTTTGACGGTCAACCTCTTAACCTAATAATGTTATTTTATTTTATTTTTTTTTTATTCAAGGATTTTTTTTTTTTTTGATAATATTTCAATGTTTAATAAAAAGAGTTCTCAAAAATATTTGTTATTTTGTAATTGAAGAAAATATTTATCGCTTTTTTGTAACGTATTAAAATATGCATTTCATTTCTCTGTGGAAAAAAAAAAAAAAAAATTTCTATAATTATAATAATTGAAGTTTAAATTGGATATGGGGCGTAAAGGTGAAGGCGTAAAAACTGTAGGAATCATGAGCTTTGGGGGACAAGAGGGACGAAGAAAGTTAATTTTAGGTTCATTGTTTATTTTCCTCCTCATCGATTTATCCGGTTCATCGGTTAAACTTTTATACATGCGCAGTTAAAGAAGTTAAAGAACGCACGTGAATCAAATGTAAAATATTCTTTCAAAAGCTGGATTTTAAGAACGTTTTAATGTAATAGAATGAATATACACTATTTGTTCGACAATTTTAGTCATTTATTTATTAAAATTTTTTTTGTGGTTCAAAAAAAAGCGCACAACATTGTGATACATTCATTGCCAATCGAAAATTTCCCACCATCATGTTGTTGAGATTTCAAAAGAATCATGTGGATAAACATTTATATGACGCAGCAGTTTTCTAAACAATCAAATATTTGTAATTCTTTAATTATATTAGTATTAATTAAAATCGTGTGATAGGAAATTTCGGTAAAGTATGTTTTTGGTCTAAAATAACAATCATTCATTTCAATAAATGATTTCATATGTATATTTGTAACTCAATCAATGACAAATCATTAATCATGTTACATGGATATTTGATACAGCATTTCAAAAACAATTAAAAAAATGATCTTTTAAAGTTAATGATACAACGACAAAAAACACGCCCTCAATGCAAACTTTTTATTCATGAATTTCGAATCATATTCAAGGAAAAAAAATCATTTGTAAAAAAGAATTACACAATGAACACGTTTTATTGTGTGTAATATTAACTTTGCGATAAAATTCCGGAACCTCTTCGTTACACATTTGGATCGTAAACCTGTTTATCTCGAAACAATTCAATCCCCTTGCAAAAGGTGAATCGTGATACAAATTTAAATTTCTCCCCATTAAATTGACAAACATTTAAATGAAAGTATCAAAATTTTCCTAATGAGAGATGAATAAAGAGATGGGACAAAGAAAATGAAATGTAATTTATGTAATTTATTAAATTTATTAAATTTTAACGTATGTTCCTCATCTAGTTTACTAAAAATATTTTATACAAGAATGAAGAAAATCCGGGAAAAAGACGGAGATATACAGTATAAATGCTAATAATAGTAAAAAATTCAAGGGAATTGAATCATGATTTGTATGTTTTTTAACGGTCTTTTCGCGATGGTTCGATTTTCATAGGAAATTGCGGATCTACAAACTTTCTTACCATTTGAGGAATGAATTAAATTTAAAATATGGGTTTTGTGTAATAGAAGTTTTTTCAGTATGTTGTCATATATAAGAATATTTTCAAAAATCTTCCCATTGAACCTAATGAAAGACAGTGAATGTCCATTTAGCGTTTGTAATTTAAATTTACACAATTTTACAATATCCGAAAAACCATTTACAGTTTAATTGTCACCATAACCTTTAAATTTTCAAACCATTTTCTTCTATACCCGAAAATACATGTTTAAGGAGGTGACTATTGTAAGAGATTCGGTTTCCTTATTTTTAGAATAAATCTTATACTTTTTACTTTAATTTAAATTCAATTAAATCTTTTATTTAAAAAAAATATTTAAATATTAATTGGCCGATCCATCATTTTTAAATTGTTTAAAAAAAATAAATAAATAAATCATTAGTGTAATAATATATATTATCGTTATAGGGTGTGTCAAAAGAAATACCGTTCAATGCTTGTCACGACAATGCATAACATATCCGGTTCAGCACGTAGTTTGAGACGTGATAATTAATGCGGTGTGAAGAAAGATCACATAAAATCGCGCGATCATTTTTTTTTTCTTATTATAAAAAGCCTTGATTTCTCTTTCAACCTTTTTTTTTTTTTTTTTAAATTTTTTTCAAAGAATTTTTTCACACTTTGATAACGAGAAACAACGAGCAAACCTTTTTTTTTTTTTCTTCTTTACAATTTCTTTTTTAAATTTCTCCCTTTTCTTTTTTTTTTTAAAACGCCATGAATAATCTAAATGAAAACACCATGTATGAAAGCACCATCCCGAATAATCCTGCAAGCGTGAATAATCTAAATTGTAGTTATGTCATTTACTCCCAAGACGTCTCCAACAGGATGTTGGTGTCGACTTCAACTGCGATAATTGAAATAGACCAAGTTACTTACGTGACTCAAGTCACTTGGATTTCTCAAGTCACGCAAGTGACGACCATGGTTTCAATTTTGAACCTATAAATTCAGAAAAAAGCCCATTCGATTGATCAAGATAACTTTCTATCTTGTTGCTTGTTGCTTGGATATCTTTGGATATTTCAATTCTTAATGAAAGGGGATGTTATCATGGAAAAAAAAAAAAAAAAATCTGGGATTTTTTTTTTGTGACGTAATTTTCATCATTTTTACAATAGAATGAAATGGTTAAATTTAGGAATAGCTTGATTTAGGGTGGAATAAATTGTATAAACTTATTTTTTTTTATATATATTTTTATGACTTTTTATTAGGATCGATTACGATGTATACATATTATGCGTATGCGAACTTTAAAAACTTTTAAAAAAAATTGATCACACAAATTCCAATACTCTGATTGGCTATTTAAATTTCATCAGATCATTATTTTTTACGAATATTTCACGCTCTTTATTTTTTTCTTTACACTATGGAAATTTGGACAATAATTTGTTTTTTTTCTCTTTTTTACAAAAATCCCACTAAATTATTAAATATTATTCTAGTAATTATATAAATACAAGAGTATTTTTTTTTTTAAATAAATAAATAAAATTAAAAAGTCTTTTATAAATTGAAAAAAGATAAAAAGATTAAAAAAGGTTAAAATTGTTTTTAATAAATTAATTTGCCCACCAGGGACAATTTTTTTTTTTTTTTTGGTGTTTGTTGAATTAACCATCTCAATATTCCTCCCGATTTATTATTTATAAATTACCACTTCTAACCAAATCAAAATATTCACCACGGAGGGTCATTAATTCCCTATGAGTTCCGGATTCAAGGATTTTACCACCGTCAACCAGAGCAATCTTATTTAAATTCTTGATACTTTTAAGACGATGTGTAATAACCAAGGTCGTACGACCTTTTTGAACTTTGTAAAGAGTTTCTTGTACGATGGCTTCATTAGTGGTATCCAATGCACTTGTAGCTTCATCCAAAATCAATACTTTAGGATCTCTTAATAAAACTCTAGCAATGGCAATCCTTTGTTTTTGACCACCAGATAATTTAGAACCACTTGAATCAAGTTTAGTATTATATCCATCCGTTAAAGTGATTATGAAATCATGTAGGTTCACTTGTTTAGCCGCGGTTTCGATCTCTTCTTGAGTAGCGTTTTCTTTACCGTATGCGATATTCTCACCGATCGTCATATCAAACAATACCGGTTCTTGACTGACTATGCCAATATTTTCTCTTAACCATCGTAATTGTAGATTCTTTAAATTTTCGTAATCCAACATGATCGATCCTTCCGTTGGCTCATAAATCCTTTGTAATAAAGCTGCTACGGTGGATTTACCATTACCACTTTTACCTACTAATGCGATGGATTGACCTTGTTCGATGGTTAAATTTAATCCATCAAGTACCATTATTT